GACCCAAATCCTGACTCTGGGATGGGAAAAGCTCCAGAATGGACCCAAATCCTGACTCTGGGATGGGAAAAGCTCCGACATTGACCCAAATCCTGACTCTGGGATGGGAAAAGCTCCGGAATGGACCCAAATCCTGACTCTGGGGTGGGAAAAGCTCCAACATTGACCCAAATCCTGACTCTGGGATGGGAAAAGCTCCGGAATGGACCCAAATCCTGACTCTGGGCCCCTCGTTCCCAGAGGGCTCCGGGCGGCCGTGACCCTGCTGGAGTCCGGGGGGGACCTCCAGCCCCTGGCGGGTCCCTGCGCCTCCTCTGCCGAGGCTCCGGCTTCGATTTCGGAAAATTCGGGATGAGCTGGGTCCGCCAGAGGCCCGGGCAGGGGCTGGAGTGGCTCGCGGGGATCCACCCCAGCGGCAGCACCTTCTACGCGCCATCGGTCAAGGGCCGGTTCACGATCTCGAGGGACAACGGGCAGAGCTCGGTGACGCTGGCCATGAGCAGCCTCAGGGACGAGGATTCCGGATCCTATTTCTGTGCCAAGGGTGCTCATAATGGCGCTGCTGATAACGATGCCAATGGTTTTGTCGCCACCCCCACGGTTTTGTCCTACCTTGGCCCAAAATCCCAGAACCTTCTCCAAACCCCAGCCCTTGACCTTTGCTCTCAACTCTCCCCCATTTCCACCCATGGTGACCAATGACCCCAAACCCGACTGGTTCTGCCCCAAACCCGACTGGTTCTACCCAAACCCAACTGCCTTGGCACCAAACCCACCCGATTTTGCCCCAAATCTGCACTTTGGGCTCCCGGCCGCAGCCGCTGCCCCAAACCTGCCCCGCTGCCCCCAAATCCCGACCCTTGGGGCACTTTTGGGGACCAGGGCGGGATTTGGGGCCGGGAGTGGAGACCGGGGCAGGAGCAGGGGAGGGTTTGGGGCCCGTGGGCAGCGCGGGGGCAAACGGGGCAGGTTTGGGAGGGGGGTGGGGGAGGGAGGAGTGGGGAGGGTCAGGGAGGGGTGGGGAGGGTCAGGGGACAGTTGGGGACAGATGGGGACATCGGGATAGGGACGGGCCTGGAACCCCCAACACCAACAGAAGCACCATAACCAGCACCCGGTGCAGAGCCCGATTCTGGGACAAAGATGGGAATGGGAAAAGCTCCGGAATGGACCCAAATCCTGACTCTGGGATGGGAAAAGCTCCGGAATGGACCCAAATCCTGACTCTGGGATGGGAAAAGCTC